TAATTTTGTTCTGCCATGTAGATACATTTTCTCGCAAATATGTGTTGACCTTTGATAATTCTCACCATTTATCAGAGAGAATTTAGATTTTCGTCATTAACATGTTATATTTCAAAATTCCACGCGACCGCCACGTCGAAAAATATCAGTTATTGTCGAACTACAGACAATCTCTCCATATTAAAGGGCGGTGGTCGTCGTGCCGCGTCCTGTTCGACATGGGACTCATAGCGACGTATACAACGCGTGTAAAATACATTGTTTATTCACCCCATACTCGTTGAAATCTTGTTATATAGGCGTTGGTTCATATGTATGTGACAATAGATGAATACAAAATAAAATGTGCGTAATAATTTCGATGACACGTCTACAATAGGTAATTTCTACATAGCCGCCCCCCCCCGGGGATACTACCCCTGAAGTAGCAGTACTGCAGTGATAATCTGGTGCTTTTTAGATTGAACCATGATCAGCACATTACGACCATGCGTCACAAGTCTGACCTACTCCAGATTGATCCAACAACAACTTCTACGGCCAGTATACAGGCTTGCTTCAAGCACATATGGACCGGAGAGGGCCTGCAGTAGAGATGAAAGTAAGTTGCTGATGAAAGTACTAGTAAGTTACTAAGTGGGAATAAAGGGTGAATAAATGTGGTTTCGGTCAGCAGAGCTGGTTTGTAAACTTTTCCTATTTTTCTTATTTAGTACGCCAGTTTCAAATCAGTATTTGTATCTAATAAAATATGCAAATTCGGACGCAGATTCCAATAATTATGACAGATACACCAGACCACATCAATATAGTCAATTATACACCATTACGTTAGAGTATATTAGTAGTTTCAATTGTGTGATAGGGTTCTCTTTAGAACGCTTTTTATCACAAATTTCAATTTTATAAATATTACAATTTAAAGACTCACATATATTTAAACGAAATGGTTTGGTCAATTAGTTGATTGTCAATTTCAATATTTAAACTATTTGAATGACTTTCGGATGTGCTAAAAAGGCACACAAGAGTATATTCGGTCATTCATTGAGGTTATGAAGAATTTACTGTGTAGCAAAAAACAATCTGTGTCCGATAGCATCAGATTATTATTATATATGGTAAATAGAAATGGTCCTAGTACAAATCCTTGGTACGCAATTCATACAAATTGACTGCTGGCGACTGGTGAGATAATTACTGACCATGCGTAAACTCCGTCCCATATTTCACTGAGCCCGCACGATAAAATAAAAAAAGTCCATTATAATGCATATTCTGTAAAACGTACCAAGTTGGATAATACCTCTAATAATGCATTGACCGTAGAACAAGAACTGAAATCAGCTGCTCATGAACAATATTCTCAAAATGTCACTGGCAACACTGCGATAGGCCGGTAGTCGATGGCTCTTGGCTCGTGTTATTGCCTTCTATATTTCGCTGATGGAATATTGAAAACATCCGCGGGATCTACATGATACGTGGAACCATATGATAAATATGGTATACGAGATGAAATGATCATATCATAATTCTTGTGTGTATTAAAATTTTATTATATTTACATTTCGTTTTATTAATCTGTAGATGTCTACAAGGCGCCTGCTGCGCGAGTACCATCGATCAAAAGGCTTCAAGAGATAGCAACAAACAATGGCTTAGATATCAACAACGAATATTTAAACCATTATCGAGGTATTAATTAATTGGTTTTAAATATTTATAGTATTTTATGATAAATGAAAAATTTGGAATTATTGGTGAATAACTGGTGTTTTTGTTTTGTTTTGTTTTTTGTGATCAGATTTTATAGAAAATGTAATATGTAGTGCTATGGATGTGGTGGATAGTTATCCAGAACCGACCCTTCCTGTGAAATACCCAAGAACCCCTGGCTACAGACCTAAGCAGGTTGAAAATCAACTTAATGGGTGGTAAATGTAACCATTAAAGAGATTATTTAAAGACAGTGGTCGTGGCGACCAGGTGCATTCTATATGGGTCCCATACTATGCATAGCAACGTGTATACATTCGGCTCAAATTTGTTGCTACACAAATATTCGAATGCACATGGCCGCGATGACAACATCACTTTAAAGCGTGGAAGTCGTCACCTACGCATGCGTCAGATGGCCATAGCGTCTGCCCATGAGCCTTTGCGTTTTAGTATGCGTTTTTATTTAATACTAAATTCACGCGCGACCCATCTGCTTTAAATTCATCTAGCTTTTAAGCGGGATTCGGGAATTAAGTCGATTAACTGTATCTTCTGACTATCTGTAGTGAACAGATAAATTCGCAAGAATCTCACCGAATCAAATTTAGTGACGTCTTATTGAATCCATGTTTTATGTTGTGTATGGAAGGTACTGGCGCTGTGATATTAAAGGCGCCGATGACGGTATATTACACGGTAAAACTGTTGCTATTAAAGACAATATCCCAGTAGCTGGTGTTCCTATGATGAATGGGAGTTACGTGTTGGAAGGTTATGTGCCTGAATATGATGCAACAGTTGTTACCAAGATACTAGATGCAGGTATGAATCAAGGGAGCTAATTACATAATATATCAGAGCTCGTTCATGAAGTTAAACTGAAACATTGTACAATTAGAGAAAGGGCAATGGGGGTAGCTGGTACAGGTTACAGGAAATAAAAACGCATTTTACGTTAACGTTCCTACAGGAAATACAATGAAAGTTCCATTTACTGTAAAAAATAGGTTTTTACACTTTACAGATAAAGCAAATTCCTAACTACATTTTACATTTTTATAATATTTTTTATAATTTGTGTTTATGAATCATAATTTGAAATTGCGTACGAATTACGACATTTAATTTGGAAAATACTTTATACACTTACAAAAAATAATATCTCTGTACAAATTACAGAAGAATAAAATAACTGATTTCATTTTACACCTTGCTCATGTCATGTCCATGAATTAAATTTTTTTATTTATTTAAATTACAGTATACGAAAATACCCCCGACTCTCTAGAGTGATAAAGGCATCTGTCCAGGGCACGGGCCAACAACGCCCGTTACTATCTGTAACCAATATAAATGATCCTCATTCATAGTAGGAATGAAATCGCACAATTTTGTTAAGTTTGAATGTGTCAAAATATGCGCATTAAATGACAGGCGCACTATCCTCTAAATGCTGTCGCTATATCACGACAACGTCTACTACGCAAGTTGTTTAGTCACTGGTTACATCACATTCAATGCTAAACCTATGTTATATCAAGAAAGTGACCTTACCACAATTATAACCCTAATACATATAAGAACCCACGTTATGCGATATTCTTCACGATCTTCACTACCCACAAATAATGTATCATTTGTCGATCCCTGACTGTTCCAACACATAATTGTAAAACATTAAAGACGGCAGTCGTGTGCCGCGTCCTGTTCGATACGGGACTCATAGGACGAATACAACGCGTGTAAAATACATTGTTTGTTTACACGAAATTCGAACACGCGCTGCGCGACGACCACCGCGCTTTAATACTAAAACAGAAATATTATCAAATATCAACTCTGAATGTCAATAAAACTACAGGAAATACACCCCCTTAACTGTACAAAAAAACACGTGACAGAAAAACTACGCATGCTTATTGAGTCTCAGCAATTGGTCATTGTTCATTGACTGTTAAATACAGTTGCCAATTACCCAAGCACAAACAAAACTGTTAACACACGTGTGCTTTCTATTCAAAAACTACGCCGCCTCGTTTGGGAAAATTACTTGTATTCCGCGTAACCTTCATTTGTATTTATACTATTTTCTAATATCTCATATATAATTCACTCGTCAGGTGGTCGGATTACAGGAAAGTCGACTTGTGAAGACATGTGTTTTTCTGGAACTAGCTATATAACTACAAAGGGTGCAGTCAGAAACCCCCACAATACGAATTATGCAGCTGGAGGGTCTAGTAGTGGGTGTGCGGCACTGGTAAAGTATTTTTTTATATTTATATAAGTTTTATTCATTTTGTTATCGCATAAATAATACAGAATATTTAAGACAGAAAAAGAAATACGCAAGAACAAACAAACTAAGAGGAAACAATTAACAAAACAAAACACAGGGTCATTTTGGGGTTTTTATTAGTTCCGCTGTCGACTTTGTCGAGCGGAGCTTATCATATAAGTGATTGTCCGTCGTCCGTGTCAATGTTTTACTTTTTCGACTTCTTCTTGAAAACTACAAGCCTGAATGCTTTGATACTTGGTGTATATGTACCTTGGGTAGGCCTATCTTAGATTTGTTTATTTCATGATGATATCTTCAATTTTCTGGTAAAAAGGATATTTTCGACTTCTTGTTAAAAACCGCAAGTCTGATTGCTTTTATATTACATATATAGGTACTACATGTGGAACTCTCCCAGATTTGTTCATTTTGTGATGATATCTTTAAATCTCCAATTTTGGTGAATATTTTTGTAGTTTTTGGTAAAAAGTGTTATTTTCGACTTCTTGTAAAAAACGGAAAGTCCGATAGCTACTACATGTGGACCTCTCTCAGATTTGTTCATTTCGTAATGATATCTTCCATTATTTGATAAAAAGTTATAGTTTTTCGAATTCTTGTTCAGAACAGCAAGTCTGATTGCTTTGATACAATGTACTATACATATTGTTCATTTTCTAATGATATCTTCAGTTCTTTAATTGAAATGTGCATTGCTAACAGCGGATCTATCTCAGCCGACAGACTGCTTGTCCACATACACAGTCGTCACAATGAAATTTAACTACAAATGGTACAGTAATCGTAAAGTACAGTACAGTAATGGGAAATGCACAGCATCACTGGTAACAAAAACAAATTATGCGTTTTTCAGTAATCAGAAAGTGATTTAGTATTTGAGAAATATCACATATTGAAGAGTTGGAAAATCAGAAAATTCTGGCAGATTTGCAAAGGACTATTTAAAAGAAGTCCAGAAAGCCCTTGAGTGGGTACAGAAATAAATAGGTCGTCAATCTTAAGTGATTTAATCTCATCTAAATCTTCATCTGTATAGAAAATACGGCGCAATAGTTTCACTACTCTGTTAATTGAACACTTAGAATAGGTATACTAATTAAATAAATTAGACACCAAGACTTAGAGATTGAATTATTTCATTACATAACGTAAACTTATAGGGAATTCACACATTTTACTACGATTATTACTTTTTAATTTAATTTAATTTAATTTAATTTAATTTTAATTTTAATTTATGAATTTATTTTACTTTAAGTTTATGAATTTTTCATTCAAGTAAACAAAACAAGAATCTAGCGAAACAGCCGGCCGCGTGGCTGGCATTCTTTAGGGGGGGGGGGTAACTTCAGGTTAACCGGAATTGCATCTAAGATACTTTTGAAATTCTGGGTTGGTGATAGATGGTAAATTTCGGATAGTAAATACATTATCTCGATGTGTTATTTTCCAAAGATATCAGCAATGTAACCAATACCTTTGTCACAAAGTAAAGTATTTCTAATATTAAATTATTATGATGGTCAAACATAAGAAACATCTAAACAACAGCTTATTACTACCTTATACTAAAATATGTTTGGATATTTAGAGTACTAAAAAATTTTCACTTCCGGTCCGGGTAGACTTAAAATACACCACGAATATTCAATTTTGAGATATAATTTTTGGTATGTGTTGATTCTTTGATATTTTGTCTTCAACGTCCTGTACTTCGTTTAGTAATTCGAACGTCCTAGTTTGCGTAAAAGGGACGAGTTTCGCGATTTCGACATCGAAAATGCCTTTGCTTCATTATTTGCTGAGGGACGGTCGCTTAGGTATGTGCTCTGTAACTTGCAGCAAATGAACCTAAAAACGTTAGGTAATCAAACACACATGACGTATAATTTATATATAGAGCAAACTCTTGTCAACTGAACAGCGTAATTTGTCTGTTTTTGCTTTTTAAAGGTTGCTGCTGGATACGTGGATATGG